GTTCATTTATTCGTTTGCTGGAAATTAGAGCTGAATTTAGAAATAGTTTTGAAACAAATATTTAATGGATGTCTGTGCGTACAACACGTTTCCCTATCAATGAGAGTGAAAGTGAAAGTAAAGAATGAGTTGGCTCATCTCTCATTCTCGAACTGTAGATGCTCTGTTTAACTGTTTTCTCTCTAGTGAATCATTCAGTTTTTCCACTTACAAAGTCCGTCATGTAAATAGCAAATGCGCCATGGCGGAACGCAACTGACTCTTAAAGGTAATGGGAGATGAGACTCTGATTGGTTTATTCTCAAAACACACCCATAACTCATTAAGAGAGTAAGTTCAATGTTAGACCATCCGCCACGGCGAAAAGCTGATTTTTCTATCCTTAAAATAGCAAAAGTAGATTCTGACACGCCCTAATGCTTTTGCACCCTGTGCTTTGGACTTTGTGCATGGATCGTCAAAATAGAGCCCCAAACGACCCAAACTACAGATGTGAAAGCCCCCTTAAACAAACAAATGGAATTAAACATTACTAAATTGAATTTGTTGAAATTCAGCCCACAGTAAATTTAGTTTCAGTGTAGTAAAACTGTACTTTTTTTAAAAATAATATTCCGCAGTTCTAACATCAACCAGCAGGGGCTAATGGGTTATACAAGCAACCAGTCAAACTTCGGGCTCTATTTTGACGGTCCATGCGCAGAGCGCAAAACGCAGGGCGTAAACGCTTTTAGGGCCTGTCAGAATGCATTTTTGCTAATTTAAGGACGGGAAAATCCGCTTTGCGCCATGGCGCATGGTCTAAAAGGGTTGAGTTTATTTTCTTAATGAGTTATAGGTGTGTTTTGAGAATAAACCAATTAGAGTCTTATCTCACATTCCCTTTAAGAGCCAGCTGCGTCGCGCCAAGAGCGCATTCGCTATTTACAGGATGCAAAGTAAGTCTAAGTGGAAAAAATGAGCATTTCACAAGCAAACTGAAAACAGAAAACTGTTAAACAGAGCATCTACTGCGTGAGAATGAGTGATAATGGTTCTACTTTCACATTCGCTCTTGGATAGGGAAACCTTTACGCACAGACATCAATTAGCCTATAAATAATTAATTTTGTTTGTTAAGCACAAATATTCGTTTCAAAACTATTTCTAAATTCAGTTCTAATTTCCAGCAAACGAATAAATGAACAATAATAACAAAATGAGTTTAAAAAACCCGAGTTATATCCTAAAACACATGCTGTGCCCCATATGGTCTAAAACCTGACAGGTGGGCAAATCTAAGCTTGTTTTTAATAAAACAAATATAAATATGGATATAATAAATAATACTGCTAATAATAATAACATTATACAAAAGCAAATTGTCATGAATGAACTGAAAAAGCCTCCCGAGATGAAGAAGACATAAAAGCAGTGATTTTTCATATTTATGTAGGCTAGAAAATAATATGTTTTGTAATATTTTAATCTTTTATATTTATATCCTATATCTATTCTTATTATATCCTATATATATATCCTTAATATTTACTTTTTTTCATATGTAAAGATATCTGCCTATTGCTCTCTTGTGCGTATTAAGCAGTGCGTAAGCACCGGAGTTCAGACCGGGTTTGTTTTGGTCTAATGAAAAATCTATTATAGTTTCTTAAAATAGCAACGCGCCAGCAGTGCGCCTTCCGTTTTAGACCAGAACGCCTATGGGCACACAAATGACCGCTAATGCATTTGCTATTTAAACAGTGTAGGGCAACGCCTCAAAACAACTGAAACTACCAAAAGACTATTGCGCCCCGCCTTGCGCCACATTGCGCCGGGTGTATGATAGGGCCCTTCAAGTCTTTTGTTGGCATGCAGGGCTGCAAGCTGAGGAGGGTTTTCTTTATGTTCAGAGGGCACAACCTCAGTCTCAGGGGGCAACAGCTGGCACACAGGAGGGAAAAAAATCCAGACACATAACGCATAATTCATCTTCCTGAACATTTTGATTTATGACACGAAGCACCATTTTATGTGAGTTATTGCTCCATTTCTTTGCGTGCGTTTAGTGTGTTAGTAACACTGGCAGCGGCTCCGCGAGCCTGTGTTGAGTTTGAAGGAGAGATAAAGAGGATGAGTGGAAATGAAAGAGGTTTTGCATTGATCTACTGCGTAAAGAACTCTTTGTTCCCGGTAACAAAGAGCAGAGCGTGACATGAGCTAATTAATCACATTAACAAGCCACGGCCTGAGAGAGATTGAATGAGAGAGATATGGAGGGAGAAGTGAAGGACAGGGGAATGTGATGGAGAGATAAAGGAAGAGTCAACGACAGAGGAAGAGAGACAAAAGGAAAGTGAACAGAGACGTGAGGAAGGAAAGTGAGAGTACCAGCTGCATGTTCTGTGTTAGGTCAACATGAATAAACTGGTAATCAAACCTATTAAGCAGGTGATTAAGCACTGAATGAACAGCTTATGTGATGGTGAATATGAAGTTTGCAAGGATCCTGCAGACATCAAGTCAAGTTGAGTTTTATTGTTATTCTGGTACATGCGTGGACATCCATTGGAATGAAATGTCATGACTGACAGGATTAAGATGCTACACAAACATTATCATGAATATGAATACAACACTGGCCGTAAGAGCTGTTTTAAACCTATACATAACTAACATAGAGGAGTGGTAATCTAACTATACCCAGCAGGTGCAGGACATCAACATGACATCAAATTGACGTTGTACCCCAATATCAGGGGATGTTGCATTTTGTTTGGAAATGAAAATCGTGTTGATGTCAGGCCCATGTCAATATCCAACGTCCAACCTAAAATCAACCAAATATCAATGTCTAATAATGATGTTTCAGCTTGAGGTTGTGTGGACGTTACCACTATGGCGTGTAGCAGATGTGTATCAGACAGATAAAAAGCTGAAATGTAGAAATTTGGTTTGCCATATCTGACCAATAAATGTCAGTATTTGACGTTAATATGAAGTTGCTTTAGGATGTTTGTGCGATGTTGTGTTTTGGTCACTTTCCAACACAGCCAAAAAGCAACCAAATATTAACGTCATTTGACGTCATTATTGGACGTCACTACAGCGTTGTCCTTAGAATCTGGCTAGACATTGAATTTAGGTTATGTGTTGTCACTGTCACCATTCTGCACTTTGTCTCCATTCCCCTAGAGGTCCCCGTGTTTCCTCTCTACCTCAGCTGTTCTTGTTTATTTAAATGCGATCACCTGTGACTTGTTTCAACCTGTGTATTTAAGTTGTCCTTTTTTCTCAGCCCCGGTGAACTTGCTTTGCGTTCCCTTGATCTCTTGAGCTACGTCCAGTAAGACTGTTTTTTTTTTTCCCCTGTTACTTGCTGCTTTATTGTTATTTGTTTTCATTTTTTAAATATATATATATATTTCCCAAGTGCTGTTTAATGGACACATTTTTTTACAAAACATTTTTAAACATAATAGTTTTTATAACTGTTTTATTTTGTCTTTGCCATGATGACAGCACATACTATTTTACTAATTATATTGTACAGAGGTGAAATAACCCTGAACTGGAGCAGGTTACGTTCAGAGCATGAGTTGCTATGGCAACTAACATACGCTGAAATTTGTGTTTTTTGCTTTTTTTTTTTTTTTTTTTTTTTTTGCAACTGAAGTTAAGTTTATCCTTAAACTTATTTAACTGTCACATAACTATGGAGCCATGCAGATCTGTCTCAAAAACAATACATTTACAAATATAATGTATACTTGTACAGCACAATTTACATTAACAAAATCCAATTTGTAAATTCAAAACAATTCATAAATACAAAACACAAGTTAAAGTAAAAATCATAAGTTGTGAAATAAGTTGTATTTGTGTAAATTACTCTATGAATCGTGTTTTGAATTTGCATATTATATTTGTGTATTTTTTTAATTTACAAATTGTATTTGTGAATTTCTGAATCTAGTTTTGAGTTGAGTTACGAATTGTATTTGTGTATATTTTAATCGGGTTTTGAATTTACGAATTGTACTTTTGAATTTCCATGTTGGAGTTGTGTATTTTTGAATCATGTTTTGAAATTACGAATTGGATTGGTGTATTTTTGAATTTTTTATTTTTTTTTATTTTTTTTTACGAATTGGATATGTATATATTTGAATTGTTTTGAATTTATGAATTGTATTTAAGTATTTTATAATTTATTAATTGGATTTATGTATATTTGAATCATGTTTTGAATTTATGAATTGTATTTTTGAATTTATATATTGGGTTTGGGTATTTTTGAATCGTGTTTTGAATTTACGAATTGGATTTGTGTATTTATGAATCTTGCTTTTAAGTTTACAAATCGGATTTGTGTAAATTTGTATCATGTTTTGAATTTACGAATTGTTGTTGTTTTGAATTTACATATTGGATTTGTGTATTTTTTTTATCGTGTTTTTAATTTATGAATTAGATTTGTGTATTTATGAATTTTACAAGTTGGATTTGTCTTTTTTTTTAATGTACAACTTTGATTTGTGTATATTTGTATCATGTTTTGAATTTACGAATTGTATTTTTGAATTTACATATTGGATTTGTATATTTTTTTTTTTTTATCGTGTTTTTAATTTATGTATTAGATTTGTGTATTTATGAATTTTACAAGTTGGATTTGTCTTTTTTTTTTTAAATGTACAACTTTGATTTGTGTATACTTGAATCATGTTTTGAATTTACGAATTGGATTTGACTAATTTTTAATTTACGAATTGGATTTGACTAATTTTTAATTTACGAATTGGATTTGGTGAATGTGAATTGTGTTTCGTAAGTTGCGTTTTGAACTTGCGAATTGGGTTTTATAAATGTGAATTATATTGTGGATGAACAAATTATATTTTGTAAATTTATGATTTTGGAGTCTGATCGGGCTCCATACTATAACATGCATTTTGCAATACACACCGGTGTTCATGGATTTTGCTTCTAATCATAATTCTTTGCTGCACTTTTTACAGTCCAGCAACAAACCAGGAGCAGAAGAACCTAAACATACAGCCACTCAATCCCATCATCTAGTGGATGATCTCAGACATCTGATGGAGCTTTTTGGAGACTTCATCAGCTAATGGATGGAGGTGCTGACCGGGTGAGTATTAATAACGCTGATGCAGATGAAGAAAACTACTAGATGATGTGGAAGTATAATGCAGGTTGATTGAGTTTCTTTTTTATGACTCTCTATTGAGTGAGAGATTAATATATTAAATTCAAGACAGACTCCCTAGAGATCTGTAGAGATGCAAATGATGGACAGGAGGAGGGGCTTATTTTCATTGAAGAGGCAGGGCCTAGATTACTGTGTATAGTGCAAGTGTGATAAGACACACACACACACACTGTAAAAACATAAGTTGACCGTGTGTTTTGCAGATGTTTTGTGTTCATTGACACTTTGAATTATTTGACTTAAATTATAAGACCCTGATCACTGTTCTGACAACTCTTGATTTAGAATTTTAAATTTAACAAATTAACTTTTACTACCCTTTCAAGAGTTCTCTCTTAGCTGATGATTGATTTATAAAGCTTGTTTGGCATGCTGTCCTGATAGAGAGCCCTGGGCTCATAAAATCCTCGAGCCTGGGGCTCCCTCCCATTTGCAGATGAGAGGGGAGTTTGAGCTCAGGTAGATCTTGAGAACTCTCCTGCTGTAGTAGGTAATGAACAGATAGAAATTGCTCTTAAGAGATAACTGCTTACTAGGAGCATGTCTATGGTGCTGATTTGGATTTGTCAATTAACTCAAGTTGCATGTTTTTGTACGGTGGGAGGAAACCGGGGAACCTGGGGCAAACGCACATGAGCACGGGGAGAACGTGTAAACTCTGGCTGGCTTGGTAAGGAATAAAACCAGTGATGTTCTTGCTGTGAGGCAACAGTGCTAACCACTGGGCCTCCAAGCCACCCATCTAAGAAAGGGGGATGAGTAGGGGTGGAAAAGGGGATTCTTCAAAATGAAGATGGCTGTCATATGGAGTATTTATAGTGACTTAGGAATCGTCTGATTAGTGAATCATAAATTGAGTGATGCGGGCCGGTTGCAAGCAATCATAAGCATGTCTCAAATTAGTTTATAAATAAACTTCACTTAGTTTTACTTGATGTGTATTGATAGTGATAGTGTAAAAGTTTAACATTTTGGTTTGCAAATGATTTTATTATTGATTTACTGCTTAAAGGAAACAGTTCATTGCAATTTATTTGCTCTCAATTGATTCTAAACTAAATTTCCTTCTTCTGTTAAACACAAACAAGACATTCTGAAGAATGTTATGGGGGAGGGGGGACCAACCATTGATATCCACAGCAATTAAAATACTATAAAAGTCAATGGCTGTATTTTCCAAACATTCTTAAGCTTATCTTCCTCTGTTTAACAGAAGAAAGCAACTCAAACAGGTTTGGAAGAAGTGAAGGTTGAGTAAATTTGCAGATTTGGGTGAACTGCCTATTTAAAATGTGTTTTTAATATTAAATAGTTTGACATGTTGTTGTCTAATCCAATGAAACTAATACATTGTTACTGCGCAGTCATTTATTTATTTATTTTGCTGTGGTTTACCACAAATTATTTCTGTGGTCGTTGCACATTGTAAGCTTATAAAAAAACAACTTCTGAAAGGTCAGAACAACAGATTGGCAAACACAGAGCATCAGTGTTGTGCTCATATGGAGAAAAGAATAACATCTCA